ATGATGATGATGATGACGCAAAAGCGATGCTGATGCTGATGCTGATGCTGATGCTGATGCTGATGCTGATGCTGATGCTGATGCTGATGCTGATGCTGATGATGAAGATGATGATGCTGATGATGATGGTGATGGTGATGGTGATGGTGATGGTGATGGTGATGGTGATTGTGATGGTGATGATGCAGATGCTGATGCTAATGCTGATGATGATGCTGAAAGTAATGATGCTGATGATGTTGATTATGCTGATGATGCTGATGATGTTGATGATGATGATGATGATGATGATGATGATGATGATGATGATGATGATGAGGATGCTGATGATGATGCTGATGATGCTGATGATGCTGATGATGATGATGCTGCTGATGATGATGATGCTGATGATGCTGATGATGATGAGGAGGAGGAGGAACAGGAGGAGGAGATGGAGCAGGAGGAAGAGGAGGAAGAGGAGGAGGAGGAGGAGGACACAGACCTCCAGTGCCTTGAAAGCCAAGTTTCTTTGGATTGCCCCCACTGGTGGCCGTTGTAGGGTTTTGGGCGTATTGAAAATGTCGTCCCCACAAGGCTGCGTTTATACTACCGGACGATCCCCCTTGAAAGACGAACGTAACATGGGCCTACCATCCCAGTGAGGGCCCAATTCTGACAAGAATCAGCACTCCATCCTTCTAGCGAATGATGTGACATCCAAGCGTCGATAGGATCAGAAAGGTGAAAGTATTGATCAGCGAGAGCCCTGTTTCGAGAACGATCCGGTCTCCGTCCATGTGATTGCTGCGCGGTGCCCAGCTTCTCGTCTCCTCGACATTGGAACCTCAGGCGAGAGCCCAATTGTGAAGTGGAACCGCCCTTCACCGTATGCTTGTCACATATGGTCATGAGCCCAGGGGAAGTCTCAAGCGAGAGCCCAGGAGTCGGGAGCGGAAAAGAGGGGGGTGATGACTAGGGGGGGGTGGATTTCATGGCGCGGGCCATGATTTGATCCACTGGCGGCCATGATTTTTCCTCAGATTTCATGGCGCCTCTTCTTATTTCATTACGTCCCAGGCCCCCCCGCTGGGTCGCGCACATGCCGCCGGTCATGATTTGCGCCCCCCCCTCTTGGACACCCCCCTCTTGGCCGCTCCCGAAGGAGTTCATATGCAACCCTCCAGACGAGCGTGCGCAGTGCTTAGGGCTCGCCGCGGGGCTCGCTCGCGCTTGTAGAAGAGCTTGCGCGGCTCTCGGGCGAGAGCTGCACCGTGCAAGCGGCGCGCCCCCCTGCATCGGCGTCGCCGCCCGCTCCGACACTGCTGGCGTTCGGATCCTCCTCCTCCTCCTCCTCCTCCCTCCTCCTCCCTCCTCCTCCTCCTCCTCCTCCTCCTCCTCCTCCTCCTCCTCCTCCTCCTCCCTCCTCCTTCCCATCCCTCCTCCTCCCCTCCTCTCCTCCTCCTCCCTCCTCCTCCTCCTCCTCCTCCTCCTCCTCTTCTTCCTCCTCAATTTCTGATTCTGCCCTGGTCCGAACTCCGGCTTCATCCGGCTTTATCCCGCTGCATCCGGCTTCATCCCGCTGCATCCGGCTCACTCCCGCTTAATCCGCGGCCCAATCTAGCGTACGGTCAACCCCCAAGGGCACTCTTGCATCCTTGCCTCCTCGGTTCATCCTTGGCCGCTTTCGCTGGCCGCGCCCTGCTCGACAAGCTTCGACATGGGCGTCCAAGGCCCTTGCATTCTTGTCGCTCATCCTTAGTGAACGGGCCGACTGTAATCCGGCGAAGCAGCCCCCCAGTGGCGCTTAACCCTTCTTCTGGTATCGCCCGGATGTGTGTATTTTTTTTCTCGCCGAGGACCCTTGAGGGACATCCTGGATCATCGAGCGAAAAAAAACACGCACGAAATCGAAGAATGCACGGGGAATTGACGTCCGAGCGATGGCAAGGCTTTCAGTTGGGCGTGTCCCTCTACAGGAGGAGCATTGGAGAATCGTAGAAAAAAATCGCCAGGGGCAGATTTTCCTACGATTTTTGAGCATTTGTGTTGCCAATCGTTTGGCTTATTTTTCTTCGACGATCTGCCTGGAGGAGGACATGCCCGAGCTGAGCCTGGCTCGCACCCGGGCCCACGCGCCGCTGCGTCAGCGGCCCGTCGCGGCGTTCCAGGCCAGGCCCGCACGGTGTCCAGCGTCGTATAACGTTTGGTCGGCCATGTCCCCCCACAGGCGGGCTTTGGAAGAGAAGTGCAGCATAGTCGAACATAGGTTCAAACACGGTCAAAGATGGTCAGAACATCGTCCCCCGACCATTTTGTTTGACTACTTCGGGGTACTCCCCCTGGAGAGGGACACGGCCCTGAGGGACACGGGTCCTGACCCGGACGCTGCACGGCGGACCGGTCTCGGCGGCAGTTCTCGCTGGCCCCTGGCCGCCTCTTCCGGCCTCGGGCGGCGCTCTCCAGTCGGCGTCACCCCAACATACTTATACTAAATGTGCGTCGCCCCCCCAGGGGCGGCGCGCGCACCGAGAAATCTTATAGCATATGCGTCGTGGCGTGCGCTTTCTGGCCACACACGCTCGGGAAACGATATACTACAAGACGGGTATACTGTATGTTCGGGTCGGACGCTCGCCTCCAAGGAGGACATATAGTACTAGCATGTCTCTGTGCTTCCCATCCCGCCGCGGCGCCTCGCCGAGGGCGCTCCCCGAAGGGGGGCCCCGACCGTGCCGGACAGCCGCGGGAGGGCCGAGCTCCGGCCCGGGAAGCGTTCGGGGGCGGGCAGAACCCCCAACTCACCACCAACCAAACCACCCCTAACCCAACCCGAAGGCCTCAATTTGCCCTCCATTTCCAGTTTTGGGGGGGGTCGGGGGGAACATTGGAAAAACACAGATGGACCCGTAATTACCCCCCCCAGCCCGAAATTGGGGTCTTCGGGTTGGGTTGGGGTGGTCTGGTAGGTAGTCACCAACAGTGACACGTCGATTAGTGAATTGTCCGTTTTTCGGTTCTCGAGAGAGCGCCGCGGCCGTCATTTTCCAGGCTTGCGCCCGCCAGGTTTGGGCCTCAGGTCGTTTTCACTAAACCACGTTTTGCTAAAGGGAGGTCCGTCCATCCCCGAACCATGGGGCAAAGCGGGGCCCTGGGATCAGGGCATTGTGTTTTGTTTTGCACGCGGCGTTTCCGCCGGGTGTCGGCCCCCACTGGGCCCTCACAGATCCATTGGGTCTGAGAAGCGCCACAGAAAGCTGGAATCCAGGACTCGGGTCGTGATTTCTGCGGTGCTGCATTTTCTGGGCAACGTCGGATCTGCAGGGGACGATCTCTCAGCATCGTCTCACCGAGCCCCATCCCCACTGGGTCATGGCATCGCAGGCCCACCAGGTCTACCCCCGCAAGTGGGGCTGGGCCCCGCGAAGCCCGCACCATGTATCCCCATCACAGGGGAGGAGGAGGAGGAGGAGGAGGAGGAGGAGGAGGAGGAGGAGGAGGAGGAAGAGGAGGAAGAGGAGGAAGAGGAAGAGGAAGAGGAAGAGGAATAATAATGATAATAATAATGATAATAATAATAATAATCATAATAATCATAATAATAATAAGAAGAAGAAACAGAAGAAGAAGAAAAATAAGTGGAGGAGGAGGACGAGGACGAGGACGAGGACGAGGAGGAGGGGCGCACCATGTATCCCCATCGCAGCCAATCGGGGACAAGGCCATGCCCATGGGGACGGGTGGAACGATGCTCCGGTGCGCGAGGCCGGGCCGCGCGGGGCAGGGGTGGCCCTGTGTCTGCGCAAGTTTTTTGTATTCCCAATCATCAGGCTTACCTATAAAGGGCCCTTGCTTGGTTAAAGGTTGGCGCCTCCTATTGTTACTTTGCCCGTTGCTCGGATGTTCCTCGGGTTCCTCGGGGTCCTTGGGTTCCCCGCCCCTGGTGCCTCCTATTGTTGAGTTGCCCGTTCCTCGGAGGTTCCTCGGGTTCCCCGCCCCCCAGTGCCTCCTATTGTTACGTTGCCCGTTCCTCGGAGGTTCCTGGGGTTCCCTTGGTTCCTCGGGTTCCTCGGGTTCCTCGGGTTCACCACCTTTTGGTTGCCCCAAAGAGGGCCAGACAATGCCAACCCATGCCAAGCAATTCCAAGTAATGCCAAGAAATGCCAGGCAATACCAAGCAAGGCCATTCCATGTCAATCGAAGCCGAGCAAGACTAACCCATGCAAAGCATTGCCAGGCAATGCCAAGCAATGCCAAGCGATGCGCCCAGCGATGCGCCCATGCAATAGGCTTTCCCCTAATTGGGGTCGCGCCGGGTTTAATTTTTTGAGGGCCTGTCCAAGGCCTCAGGTTGGTTGTTCTCTGGCCGTCGTTTCCATGGTGGGGCCAGCTTTACGGTCACTGCATACGTTCGGCTTGGCGTGCCGCTCCGCCAGGTGTGGCCCACCACGCATCGGCGCGACACGCCATCCACGTCCCCACTCCCGAGCGTCAACGTCCCGAGCTCTTTCCAGCTTCCCGCCCCGCGCAGCGGGGCGACGCGCTATCCGCTTGCAGGACGTGGCGGGTCGCCGGAGCCGCTGCCGCGACGTGCAGTGCAGACGCTGCTGGCCGCAGTGCCGCTGCAGAGCGCCGCACGTTTTTTTCTCGCGGGGCCCGTGCCGAGGGGGAGGCGGCGCCCGAGTCTTCGAGGGGCGCGCGGCGCTGTGCTCGTGGCGCCCCCGCGTGGCGCGCGAGGCGCTGCGGCTGCGGCTCGCGGCGCACCCGGGCGCGCTGGATGAATCAGTTGCAAGTCCCCCCCCCCCTCCCCCCCCCATCACTCTCCCCCTCTCCTCCCCCTCCCTCCCTCCCCTCGTCCCCCGCCTCTCTCCCCCTCTCTCTGCGCAGGGTGCTCCGTGGCTGGTCAGAGAAGTGCTGGCGCGCCCCGCCCTCCCTCCCCCCCCCCCCCCCCCCTCCCTCCCGTCCGCTGTCCGATTTGTCGCGCGCCTCTCTCTGCTTCTCTCTCTCTCTCTCTCCGAGCGCTGCGGCGTGGCCCTCGGTGCCTCCCGCTTGCGTGCTCGGCCCGGCCTGTTTCCCCAGAGCCCGTCTTCTTATGGAAGGCGATCGATGGAGAGGAAGCATGCCGCCACACAATTTTGTCGAGAAATCCGTGAAACATGTTTTAAACCATGTAAAACATGGTGTATTTTGGTTGGGAAAACATGTTTTGAATCATTTTGAACACTTCTGCAATGCAGTGATCGGGTTGTGAACGCGTCAGCTGTCGTGGCATCCACAGCCGTCCTCCAAAGCTCTGACCGGGCCTGCCCGCCCTGGTCGAGGAGAGGTTGCGTGCACCCGTGCAGGGTCGTCGGAGGCCGCAGGGGCCCGTTCCAGTGCGGCCTCGCTTCGCAGGCCAGCCACATATGGGGGAGAGCTGTGGTCCTTAACCCCCCTGGGGGACCCATCGATTTCGACACCCCTCTCGAGAGATCGTCGAGGCGATGGGTTCCGTCAGGGGGGTAATGACCACAGCTCCCCTAGTTCTGGTTGGTCGGCTTCGCCAGCAGCTTGCAGGACAGATCTCTGCGTGAGAACCGCGTTGCTGTCAGGATGAGTACGAGCTGACCGCCCTATCCGTCCATGTCCTGCGGCCACGGGCGTTTTGGCTTGATCCCAATTCGTCGGTCCGTGCTTGCGGATAGCAGCGATGATCATGCGCTCCTGTTTGTGCTTGCTTAGACATGAAAGTGCTGGTTCGTTCGCTACCGACCACGATTTTTGTATGTCGACCTGTGTAGCGTCTCGTTGGACGAGTATTTGCTGCCACTTTCCGCGCCGATCTGAGAGGCGCTATGTGTGTATCCGAGCGGGGGAATATGTAACAGCGAGTTCGTAATAATGTGATCCATTAGCCAGCCCGTCAATGGTGATCCGCCGCAGCCAACAGTGCGAGGAACACCGCTGGCAGCTTCATGCCAGGATGCGCCACGCAAGCGCGAACGACCTTCGCTGGCGGAAGGGTGCCCGCCAAACCTCCTGCCTGCTCGTGTTTCCGTGCCTCCTGCTGCTGCTGCTGCTCCTCCTCTTCTTCCTCCTCCTCCTCCTCCTCCTCCTCCTCCTCCCATTCCTTCCCCACCTCCTCCTCCTCCTTCTCTCAGTTTCCCGCCTCGCAGTAGCCTCCTGCACAAAACAATTTCTGGCCAGGGCCATCTTGGTTCTACACTGGTGTACAGGCCCTCGTGGCCTCGGCCAGGAGGGCGTACAGGCCGTGCCAGAGCCCAGGATGGCCCTGGCCAGATTTGGCGGTGGGGGCGTTATATGGGGCCCTCGTGCGCCAGGGCTCGAGCTACACGGTGTTTGGGCGATTTCGTGGACCGTGTTCGTTTTGATCTCGTTCGTTTCGCAGCAGAGGCAGAGAGAAGACACAACGAAAGACAGCGACAACAAAACGACAACGCAAACAATGTTCAGCTCGAGCCCTGTCCTGCGCATCGATCCCCCGATCCCCCGCGGAAGATCGCAGGTGTCCGCCAACGTGGAGAGCCGGCTCGACGAGGCTGTCGCGGCGGAGCAGGCAGCGCTCGAGGCGTTGGAGGCCTCCAAGGCCACGCTGGAGTCGCGCGCCAGCGCGGCCAAGGAGGAGCCCCGGAGGAGGGGCTGGAATGATGCCAAGAGAGCTGACGAACCGACAACACACACCCATATCCATAGGGGGGTCGGGAAGGGCTATGGGTGCGTGTTTTCGGATGGGGGTCCCCGCTCGAACGGGAGCGTTCCCCAGGGTCCGACAACCCGCACCCATACCCATAGCCAGTCCTCCTCCCAACGACCCCCCTATGGGTATGGGTGTGTGTTCTTCGTTCGTCGAGAGCCCCCAGGCATCCCAACATGGCCCCGAGTGGTCCGCAGACGCCAAGGCAGGGCCTAAAAGAGGCCTGGAGGCAGGGCGGGCCTGTAGGCTTCCAGCCGCCCTCTTGAGCCGCCGGAAGCCCGGAAGGGCGAGACTTCTAAAATTCTTGCAACTGGCGTCGGCGTGGTCGCGCGGTAGGCGGCGGGGGAGTTCTAGAAGGAGAAGCTGCACCAGTCCAAGTTGATGCTACGACAGGGTTGGCTCGTGCTGCGGCTTCTGCCGAGGAATCTGGAATTGCAGCAAGGTGCGGGTGCCCGAACCCACATACGCCTATAAATCTAGGTAGGTACACATATATATATATGTACAGTTATACATGTGCACATGCATAAGCTGTTTTGCAAGTCCGTATACACATACGGGCATAGACAGACACACAGACAGGCAGACAGACGGACAGACAAACAGACATACCGACAGACGGACATACAGACCGACAGACAGGCAGGCAGGCATGCAGACAGAGACAGACAGACCGACACATTGACATGCATGCATACGTGCGACATGTATGTCTACATACATACTCACAATCATTCGTACATCGAGAGATAGAGAAATAACACAACACAGACCAAGCAATAAATGATAGAGACAAATAACGAGAGAGAGAGAGACATAGAGAGAGATAGAGAGAGAGAGAGAGAAACAACAGCAACAACACCAACATCATCAATAACAACAGCATACCATACAGCAACACCAACAACAACATCACCAACAACACCACCGCCAACAACACTAGTAACAACAATAACAACACCAACAGCACCAACAACAGCACCAACAACACCACGAACAACACCACCAACAACACCACCAGCAGCACCAACAACACCACCACCAACAACAACACATCAAGCAACAGCATAAACAACAACAACACACAACAACAGCACCAGCAGCAGCAATAACAACACCAACAACAGCAACACGAAGGGAAACAACGCACACAGAGGTCAAGGGCGATGGCGAGGGCAAGGGCGACGGCGACGACCCCGACCGCGGCGACGGCCGCTCCCCCCTCCCCCCCGCGGCGAGGAGCTGACCGCCGTCTCCGCGGCGGCCGACGCGCGGAAACAGGACTTGGACGGCGCCTCCGCGGCGATGATGGCAGCGCGGAGGCAACGCGGGGGCGGCCGCAGGGCGGGGCCGGCCGCCGCCGCCGCCGCCGGCGTCGCCGTCGGTGGCCGTCGTCGGCGCCGCCGTCGCAGTCGCGGTCGGCGCCGTCGCCGCCGTCGGCGTCTGTGGCCTGCGGCGTCGTCTGTCGGCGCGGTCGGCGGCAGCGTCGGCGTCTGCGTCTGAGTGAGGAGGGCGAGCAGGAGCGGCAGGAGACGGCAGGAGCGACAGGAGCATGAACAGTCGATCGACCTGTTGGCCCCAGGCTGCCCCCCTGTGGAAATGAGGGCCGTTGCCTCATACTTCTGTTTAGCCCAGCTGGACTTGAGAGTGAAGTATCCTGGGTCTCTGCCGTTCCCGCCACCGCTTTGGCTCAAGACCCATTTCACTCACTAAGTTTCCGGCGCTCCCGAGCCCACAGACTTTCTATCCCAACCCTTTTCCTTTCTCCCACATGCCTTATCCTATTGCGAAGGCCTTACGGCCGGTGCCGCCGACCCTCAAGACGACGAAGATGAAAACGAGGGTGAGGAGGAGCAGGAGGAGGAGGAGGAGGAGGAGGAGGAGGAGGAGGAGGAGGAGGCGGAGGAGGAGGAGGTAGAGGAGGAGCAAGAGGAGGGGAGCAAGGGGGGGGAGGAGGCGGAGGAGAGGAGAGGAGGATGTAAGGAGGAGGAGGAGAGGAGGAGGGGAGGAGTGAGGAGGAACGAGGACGAGGACGAACGAGGACGAGGACGAGGAGGGAGGAGGAGGAGGGGGGAAGGGGAGGAGGAGGAGGAGTGGAGGAGGGAGGAGAGGAGGAGGAGGAGAGGAGGAAGGAGGAAGGAGGGAGGAGGAGAAGGAGTGGAGGAGGAGAGGAGGAGGAGAGGAGGGAGGAGGAGAGGAGGAGAGAAGGAGGAGGACGAGATGCGGCGGATTAGGAGAGGCGGAGGCGGCCAGGCGAGGCGGATGCGGCGCGGCGGCGAGGCTGGCGGCGGCGGCGGGCCGCGCCGGCATCCACTCCACCACCAGCGTTCCCAACCGTTGGCGGCCGGCGCGCCCGGCCGCAGGGCGCTTTCGGAGCGGCAGGAGGAGCAGCGCCGGGCCGCCGCGGGCGAGGAGAGGGCGAGGCAGGACCAGGATCGCCCGCGTCGTCATCGTCGTTATCGTCGTCGCCGCCGCCGCCGCCGCCGCCGCCGCCGTCGTCGTCGTCGTCGTCGTCGACGTCGTCGTCGTCGTCGCCGCCGCCGCCGCCGCCGTCGCCGCTGCCGCCGTCGCCGTCGCCGTCGCCGTCGCCGACGTGGTCGTCGTCGTCGTCGCCGCCGCCGCCGCCGCCGCCGCCGTCGTCGTCGTTGTCGTCGTCGTCGTCGCCGCCGTGGTCGTCGTTGTCATCTTCCTCGTCTTGATCCTCCCGCTGCTGCTGCTGCTGATCCTGCTGATCCTCCTGCTGCTGATCGCCAAGGGCGCTCGGCAGGCCGCAGACCTCCCCTCTGAAGGCACCTCTGTCAGAGAGTCGCGCAGAGTGGCTAGGTAAGGATCTGGGACTCTCTCGAGGACGCTCAGCGCCTCCTCCTGCTGCCACCACCTCTGCTTCCTCCCCCCTTCCGAGCAGTCGCGGCTACCCTCGAACGAGTGAGCCGCTCGAGCCGCCCTCTGCGATTTGCACCTCGTCCAGCCAGCTCAGGCGCCGCGTGGGAGGTAAGGCGGGACCTGGCACAACTCTTACGCTTGCCTCCTCCCCCTTCTCCTCCTGCTCCTCCTCCTCGTCCTCCTCCCCGTAGCCATTTTGACTCAAGTTCCAAACGTGCGTCCCTGGCGCTTGGAACTTGTGCGCAGCCGAGGGGGCGGCTCGAAGCCCCCGTGCTTAGGCGTGTCCTGGAGGAGCACTCCAGTTCTTGTTCGGCTCCTCGTGGAGCGAGTCGGCATCACGGCGCCACGGGGAAGCCTCTTGCAGGCTCTGCGGGCGGCAAATTTCCCGGCGCCTCTGTTCCATTCGCGCAGGACTACGTCACATGGAGATCGACGATCGAGAACAAGCAGAGCTGCTTTCACTGCAGCGTCTCCCCTCGCCCCGCACCCTCGACCTCGCCCAGGCCTTGCGGGGTGTGGGCCGCGAGTGAACGGGAAGGCGCGCGCGGGGCCAATCGTGGCGTGCTTCATCGCGTGATTGGGCTGAAGCAGCAGACAGCGGGGCGCGGGGTGCCCCCCTGGGCCCTCTCGCCATCTCCGACGTGGCCAGCTCCCTCGGCACCCCGGCGGCCTCGGAGGAGGAGCAGCGGCGGGCTCTTCAGCAGCTGGAGGCTGCCTTCGCCCCTCCGCCGCCCGGCGGCGGCGGAGCGCGGCGCACTCGAGCGAGCCTCCACGCAGTTGGCGGACGCTCGCGAGTGGCCCACGGACTGCCCGACCAGGGTGGACCACGCCGCCGACGCACCCTGCGCCGCCAGGCCGCCCTGGAGAAGGAGACACGGCCCTTCACGGGGCACGATGAAGGAGCCCCAGGACACACAAATAAATACACACAAATAAAATATTTCCCCATATTTTCCTATATTTTCTGGGTTTTTGTCTTCCCCCCCACTTCCCATATTTTCCCATATTTTCATTGAAATCGACGATTAATTGTGTCTGTGTGTTTTTCCCCCTCCTGACACGAGGCCGCCGCGGCGGCGGCGCCCTCGCAGCCGCCCCCTGCGGCCCTCGACCTCGCCGACGACCTCTTTCAGGGAGAGCGAGGGCAGCCGCGCGGAGGGCGGCCCGCTGCTCGACCTCGGTGGCCCCGAGGTCCGCTCCGCGCAGCGCGAGCGCTCCGAGGCCCTCGAGGAGCAGGCGTCCGGCCGCGTCGCGGAGGCGGCGGCGTCGCAGCTCGGCCCGGGCACCGAGGCCTCGGAGGGCGCCGCAGGTGGCGGCGCGGCAGGGCCAGCCACGGGCGGGGCCCCACCTCCCAAAACGACGCGAAGATCGGGACAAAATCGGGTCGGGAGAACTCGAAATCTCTGAGAATCGGCGGGCTTGGGCGCCGTGGCCGCTCCAGAGCGTTCCGGGAACGCTCTGAGAGCGCTCCGGAACGCTCTGGAGCGATTTATCCCGCCCTGTTTTACCTCCCGCAGGAGCCGCACCGCCCGCGGCGGCGGCCAGAGCGGCAGGCACCGCCGGAGGCTCGGCCAGCTGCGGGTGCGGCGGGCATGGGCGGCGGTGACGACGCTGCTGGCGCTGCTGCTGCAGCCGCAGCAGGCGTCCTTCCGTAGCCGCGGAGGAGGATCTCGAGGCCGCCCTCGAGCGGGCCCGTGGCCGCGGAGAGGCTGCCGCCCGAGCCCTCCGCGCTCCCGTCCGCGACCCCTGTGCCCCGCCAGATCGCGGCTGACGCCTGTGGTCCTCTTCGGAGCGACGCATGGAGAGGGGAAGGGAGAGAGCGCGCCAGTGACGACGGGAGCGGCACGTGGCGAGGAGAAGGGAGATGTTGCTCTTTGTAGCATGACGTTTTCTGGAGTTGGTGGTCCAGCTCATCATGACCGGGCAGTCCGGAGTCTCGCCCCCCTCCCCCCCCCATGTCGACTCCGACGGACGCGTCTTCCAGACATCTGCAGCCTGGACTTCTAGACTAAGTGCTTGCAGTAAAGATTCCGGTCGTTTTTTCGGGCCTTCGCACGGACCCAGATTACCTTCCAGCTTGGACTGTGGACCCTTGGTACCTCCACCATTGGGGCCGTGCCGCCCCCATGCAGCACATGGACTGCGCGTGGGGCTGCGTCTCCGGCCAGACCGTCGAGGCCGCGGACGTCCGAGCCATGACCAAGCTCCCACGTCAGCACGGGCGCGGTGGCACCCGCAGCCCGGGCCTCCAGCTGCTCGGCCTCAACTCTTCGGCCTGGGCTCAGGCCACATAGAGACAGTGACGTCCTCGGCGACTGCAGGGGCAAGGAGCTGCTCGATCCAATGCGCGGCGTCCTCCTACGCCTACGAGAGCGCAGGCTCGCAGCGCCCCTCTCGTCGGACGTCGAGGCGGCCAGCTGCCAGAGGCACTGCGCGGCGGGCCGGGTCCCCCGCCGCCACGGGCCAGGGCGGTGGCCCCCGCGGCGGGCGTCGGCCTCCTCGTGCCGCGGGCCCTCGGCCTCGCCTTCCCGGCTGGGCTGGCAGAGCTCCGCGATGTCTCGCCAGCGGGGTCGGCGGGGAGAGCGGCCGCGGGCTCGTGCTCGGCGGCGCGGAAGGGTGGCGTCAGGGTGATCGCGTACGTCTGGGCGCGCGAGGGGTGGACCCTCCGCCGTTTGTCTTTCCACGGCCCACGTCTGGAGGCGCGAGGGGTGGACCCTCCGCAGTTTGTCTTTCCTGCAGGCGGTCGCCACTGGCGTCAGAGAGG